TTGATCAGATGCTGCTGCTGAGTGATCCATAATGTGATGTAAATGTAACATTTTCTATATATAGGTAAAATTAATCACTGCAATAAAATAACTGTTTTTGTCACTTTTACAGTGGATTGTTACGTACAGAAGGGAAGCTTCACCAAAGTGAAACATAAATCTGTGGATCTGTGTTTGATTAATCTGGCTGAATTTCTCAAGGACCAGGATGTGTGACACAAAAATCTGAATTATGGAACTGAAAGTGAAAGCAGTCAAACTGAATTTTTAATAAACCAAAATACAGTTTCGAAGCAAATTAATTCAGATAAAAAAAAACCTTTAAATTCAGTTTCACTTTAGTAAAATTCATTTTCAAACCAATGCATTCAATTACAAATTTTGCACATTTAGATTCAATCTGAGCAATTCAAATTCAATTCCTGCTGGCACAAGATTTATCCCATAGACATGATTTTTGTCATGTGCAGCTGTGATGGATTGTGTACAAACTAATACAGTAGCAGAATGGTTTAAAATACTTCTCATCCAACCACAATTAGATTCACTCTGTCCAGGAGGCACAATTTATCAGGATAATATTTTTTAACAACAAGCAGTAATGACTTTCTRCTGCTTACCTTTTTAAAAAATGTAATAAATAGAAAGTACAGATATTTGTGTAAAAATGTAAGGAGTAGCAGTAAAAAGTAGGCTGAAAATAATGACTCCACTAAAGTACAAAATTTCTGCTTAGTACAGTAACAAAGTATTTGTACTTAGTTACTTTACAACACTGGTAATTAGTAACATTACTGTGAACAGGTAAACATAATTTATTGACTTCAAATTTTGTGCAGTTAATATGATCTGTTTATGTTTTCTGGACATTTCGACTGAGCTGAATTTTTACACGTCCTGGCACAGACAGCTGAGACCTCCTCCTCAAAAGCCTGCCTGCTGCGCAGCCACGTACCAGAGAAGTCTGAAGTGGGTTCCTCAGAGTCCACATTGAGGTTTTCAGAGCTGTCAGCTGTGCCGATGGAGGCCTCCGACTCCAGAGTCTCATCATCTGATGCTCGTGGCTCCAGAGTCAGCATCTCAACAGTCAGCTCCTCTCTGTCGAAGACAACACAGATTACACCACCAACACAATCCCATCAGGGTTCCCAGGTCTTTAACAGCTTTACGTACTTCTCCTTCTGCAGGTTTTCTATTTGCTCCGTCAGCACTTTCTCTTCCTGCTGCATGGCGGCCTGCTGATGCTCGGAGATCTCCAGCGACTCTGTTCCCTTTTCTTCTTCTACGCCCTGCTCTCTGGCGGCGTCGGCTGCAGGCGGCAGCCGAGGACTGACCGGAGGGGAAGGTGCGTGATAGCTCTGCCGTCGCCCCGGGCCTTTTCCCTGGGGAGCAAACCGTCGTCAAACGTTACCTCAAAACAGCAGCGGATCATCTCCGAGCAGAGTTATTTGTGTCACATCACTGCGTTTCTTTACTGATCGGTGTGTAAATCGAAAACACTTACAGCAGCACAGAACACAGAGAAAGTCACAGCACATCAGTACACTAACTTTACCTTTTTAGCTGAATTTGCCAGCTTAAAACATGATAAAAGAAGAACAAGAGTATCAGCAGAATCTGATAACAGTATTTACAGTAACACGCTACAGAACTGCTGCCTTGAAGTGTAGTTAATGTATCAATATTTTTGTTTTATCTTAATAATATGCCTAAAATATAACTAAATCAATAAAAAAGGTTTACTTTTGATTGGTCAACTGCTTAAAAAATATGATCAAGAAATTTTCTATGTAAGACGAAAACAATCTAAACACTGTTTGCTGAAAATATTTTATTTTAAATAGCTTTTAAGTCTGCGAAGGTGTTACCTGTTTGTTTTGAGAACCTAAACACAGAAAAAGTTGGGATGTTGCATAAAATGTWAATAAAAACTGAACTGCAAATCTCATAAACCCACATTGTATTTACAATCGACCGTAGTAAACATAGGAGGTTAAAACTGAAAAACTTTACAATYACTTGGAAGAAAATGTGTGTGAATTTCACAATCAACCACTAAAAAAATCAAACTAAAATTAAGTGAAATAATCTGACAGTWGAATGTGTGTACTCTTCTTGAAATGAGATTAATATTCTAACAGTTTGCTCTTGTTTAGTATATCAGTCTTGAAACAAGATCAAAAATACTTTTTGCCTGATTTAAGATTATAAGACTTGTTTGGATGGACCTTTGTTGCAGTGAACACTTTTACAAGAGAGCTTTATTTTGAAAAACCTGATGCAAACACGTGGACACATATCCAGTGTCTGATGCTGCAGGAACTTCAACATGTTACYGAGCTGATGTTACAGCTTTAAGGTCTAGTAAAACTTGTTGGCTGCCTCAATGTAGGCGAACTGTGTATCGAAACTAGTAATGGAAACTTTAAAATTCAAACAGTTCCTGGAGAATTGATGTGTTACTTCTGGTTCCAATMGATACTGGAGACTCGATGCCCAGCCCTAGTCTTTGCTTCATGGTTTCACTGGATGGGAGAACATGATGTTCTAAAATATAAATGTACTTTTCTATACTGCTGGTGCCTTTCCTCAGGCACTAATGYRCCTCCATATAATCAGAGAGACAGGCTATTTGAACTATTAACTGATAACAGCCTCTTCTGTAAGGAGGAAAAGGGGGAAGTGAAGTCCATGGTGTCCAAGAAGAATTTCCAATTTTGATTCATCTGATGACAGGACAGTTTTTGCCYCAGTCCTTTTGTGTTTATTAACCTTTATTTAACCCGGCTAATCCCACTGAGATTTGCAAGGGAGGCCTGCCGGGGCCTGGAGGCAGCTTAACATGAATATTTTTTAAATTTGTTTTGTTTGTTTCTTTGTCTGTGAGAGGAAACCGGAGTACCCAGAGAAAATTCACATAAGCACGAAGAGAAGATGCAAACTCCAGGTCCGAAGTGGGGATTCAACCAAGGACCTTGTTGCTGTGAGACATCAGAGCTAAYCACTGATCCATCACAGGCTGATGTACTGAGTGATTATTTTTTACATGGGTTCTGGTCCAGAGAAGACGGCAGTGATTCTACAAGGTGTTCACATGTGGCTGCTTCTTTCCAGGAAAGAGCTATAACCCACATTTGTGGTTGGTAAAGTGAACTGTTTACAGACAATAACTGTTGAAGTGTTTCTGAGCTCATGCAGGGATGTCCACCAGAATCAGACCTGGTTTTAATCTCAACTTTCAGTCTTTACTTTGATCACAAAGATTTCTAAGAAATGTTTTAATGATATGAACTATAAACGATTGATCGATCAGATATTAAGTCTTCCCAGTTTTTTCATTGAGGAACATTATTCCTGATATTGTATTTTCAGACAGTCTTTCACAGACTGGTGAACCTCTGCCAGAGCTAATCTTTACTTCTGCCTCTCTAAAATGCTACGTTTTTATCCAGTCCTCTGACTGACTGGACCAGGGGTTCCCAAACTTTTCAGCTTTTGACCCACTAAATACTAACAGAGACCCGTGCCCCCAGCTGTTGTTTATTGATAAACATTGTTTTCACATCAAATAAACAAGAGTAACAACATTTATTATGCTATTTTTGTCCGTTTTAAGTACACTAACCTTACTCTTTTGTAACAACAAAGGCTAACAATTGTTGTYATTTTTTAGTGTAATTCAGAAAATATTYCAGGACCCCACCTTAATGCTTTGGGACCCACAGCGGGGCTGCCGACCCCACCTTTGGGAACCACTGGACTAGACTAYGATAGTTGACAAATGCTCCTCCAGCTATTTTTTAATTTGTACACAGTGGTGGGCAAAGCTAACCAAAATGTTAGCTTTGCTAACTGGTAATCTGCTGGATGAAGCAAAACAAAGCTAATTACCTAAATAAGAAAAATAAGTAGCAGAAGCTAACGCTAACTTTTCATTATTATCTTTATACATTCCCATTTCAAAAACTTGAAACTCCTGAAAAGGACATTAAAAGGAAGAAAACAGTCAGAAACATGGACAGTTAAATTCCAACAAGTTTACCCAGAATCCTTTGCGTTGCACATGTGGTATGTATAATGTGTATGGGTGCTTGTCTAAACTTTGCTGTGTCAGCAAACACATGCTTACACAGCATTATCACATGCTGGATGTCATGATCGATGGAAAGAGAGCTTCACTTAGTGTTAGACTTGAAATTACTGGAAATGAATTTACAGGATGTTAAAGGGTCTGCTAATATTTTTGAAATTCTGGAAAAAAAAAGGTAATAAGCTAAACAAAAAATAATTGTTCTGTTATTAGCGGATTAGCACAACTGTGTCCACTGCAGTACTTTTACAGCTTTTTGTCGCATGTCACATTTTTAAAATGTGTTGCAGCCATAAAATTCAGAATTACCTTAAAAAAAGTTCAATTTCTCAGTTTTAACATTTGATATATTTACTAGTCCATTGTGAATAAAATATGGCTTCATGAGGTTAAATGGTTTTAATTTAAACTTTACACAGTGTCCCAACTTTTTCAGATTTGACCTTGCATATTTCAAAGTCATGTAACATTAAGTAAATATAATCAGATGCGACAGCTTTAATGCAATTAACCAAGAGACAGTTACAAAACACATAAAAAATGTGATGAGTCATGCTCTGGGAGGAGGACAGATGTGAGTAGTTGAGGAAATGACTTTGCACTAATCTTTTCCACAACACAGGAGGACGATTTGAGGATGAAATCCAAGGTGTGTAATACATACCATAATATGTGCAATGCTCATAAATCTAACAGCTATTAGTACGGGTCTCTGAGTAAAGGAAAAGACATGTTAGGGAGGGAACTGAGGAGGACAGAAGCTGCTAATAAAGAAGGAAATGATGGAGATTTAAAGGTTTCACAGAACTCAGGGTTCGATCTTACCATGGATCGTCGAATGATGCTCAGTTTACACTTGGCCTCATTCTCAGCAAATTCCAGGCTGCTGATGTCCTTTAGCCGCACTTTGTATTTATTCATCTGTTCACAAATGATGAGCTCTACACACCTACACAGAGACAGCAAGAGACAGAAATCACTTCAGAATCACTGAACGTCAGCAGAACAAGTTTGTTACTGAGAACATGCTTTTAACATGCTTTTTAATCTTGAACTAAGCAGAACTAAGCAGATTAAATAAAGTTTAATAGAATAAAAAACATTCTCTAGTGAGATCATTTTTCTGTATGTTTTTCGGCACGCATCTCGCTCCCCAATTTTTGTTCTATTTCAATAACTTATASAKCAAAACATTTAGCTCATTCAGAACAACTCAGCTAAGACGCTTGGTACTTCAGCTATTTATACTTTTTGAAATATTTAGCTTTTTCAGCCAGGTTTTTCCTCATTCAAAATGAGTGGAGCCGTTTTCAACATCTTTAAAACCCTCCAGAATATAAACAGATAAATCTTTACTGTACTTTATTTTATGTTCTGCTATGTTTTTTTCAACATGTTTGTGCTAATTTAAACAATTTATATATTAAAACATTCAGCTCCTTCAGAACATTCTGAGTAAGACCCACTTTGGGCCCTTGAGCAAGGCCCTTAACCCCTCAGCTGCTCCCTGGGCGCTGTAATTGGCAGCCCACTGCTCAACGTGTGTGTTCACATGTGTGATGGGTAAAATGCAGAGAATTAATTTCCCCTCTGCAGGACAATAAAGG